CCGCCCGCATCCTCCTCCCGGGGCCGCCGCTCCCCGGGGCCGATGCTTTTATGGAGCCGCGCTCCGCCCCGGCCCGCCCCGGCCCCAGCCATGCCCCCGCCCCAGGAGCCCCAAGGGCTGCGTCCCATGGGACGGGTGCGCAGGGGGTCCCCGGTCTCCGGTCCACAAAGTTATAGGGAGCAACCGCAGGGTTTCCCCCCCGACAAGAGGATGGGGTGCAGGGAGGGTCCCCCAGGGGTGCTGTTCCGCTGGAGCACGGTGCTCTCCCAGAGCACAAGCCGGGGACGCGGTGGGTGGGGACACGGGGAGCAGGTTGTCCCCACGTCGCGGTGCCCACGGGGACAAAGCAGCCGGCGACGCGGGGCGGGCGGTGCGCCGAGCCTCCCGAGCTCCGGCTCCGGCGCCGGCGATGCGTGAGAACCCCGTGCCGCATGCAGAGCTCTGCCGGTCCCAACCTGCACCGAAGTGCTCCGGTGGAGCTCGGCCAGCCCCGTGCACAGCTCCCCGGGGGTGGGCACAGCGTCTGGACCGGATGCGGCACCCTCGGGTGCTGGGCACAGCACGGCTGGGGGTGGGAGCAGGGAGCGGGGCCAAGCCCTCGGGTACCTCCGGCAAATGAGTGCGGGCTCCTGCCGGGGCTTGCACATCGCTGCCGGCTTTGGGGTCTGGCAGAGCCATCCTGGGAAGATCCCATAGGAGGAGGAAGAGGGATTAACCTCAGACTGCCGCAGACTGCGCCAGTGCCGCAGACTGAGCGGGATCCCACCCGGGCAGCACTCTGCTGGTGCAGCCCCTCCTCTGTCTCCAAGGAAATCAGCGCCCCTTCGGGGCCGCGGCTACCCACGGCACTGCCCATAAGCAGGCAGACAGACCTGCTCCTGGCCTTGCTTACCAGGAAGGTTTATTGAGTGAATGTGCACGGTCAGGATACAGGGGCACCAGCTGGAAGGCATGGCCCCAGCACCCCTGGAAGTGGTCAGGGATGGCTGCAGGAGCACAGGGCACACCGGGCTCCAGTGGCACACGGTCCCCAGGGTGGCACAGCCAGGACACGTGTCACCATCAGGCCAGCTCACAGCACAGCCACAGCAGAGGGGCACGTAGAGACGCGGCACGATGCCCCCTCTCCTCTCCCAAAGGCTCAGGCCTCGGCAGGCAGTGGGGGCACAGAGGCCAGGGCAGGTAGGAGGCGGGCGTAGATGTCAATGCCCCGCAGGAAGACATCCTCGTTGAGGAACTCATTGTGGTCGTGGAGCAGCACCGGGGTGCGGTTCATGGGCGAGAAGCCGAGGGCTGGGTACCCTGCCTGGGGGTGGAGGAGCACAGTGAGCCCAGGGCGGGCAGCGGGGCCACGGCTGGGCTGGAGCAGCACTCACCGCCCGGATGTAGCGGCTGTCGGTGGCAGCTGGGAAGATCTCCAGCTTGAGAGGCAGCTTCCTGCAGGGCGAGCCATGGCATCAGCGTGGCACAGGGACAGCTGGGGTGCCTGCCACCCAGACCCAGCCGAGGGCCCTAAGCCATGTACCCTACAGGATGCTAAATCCTATTCTTTCTGACACAATGGAGTACGGTGAGATGCTGACATGGCTCAGGGCTCCTCTCCTACACTGCCGTGTCCCCAGGGTACACGAGGACCAGGGGGCGCAACCTAGGTGCCACCATCCCATAGCACTACTCACATGTCCCTGCAGACCCCGCTGAAAGCTTTCCACCACGGGTCAGAGTCCTCAGTGGAGGTGATTTGCTGGTCCATGCATTTCTGAGCGATGGAGGCAGCGGGTGGGCACCCTGCAGGGGAGGGGCAGCACAGCCTGCCGACCTCCCCCCACAGCCTCTCACCTGGTGAAACTCATACGTGACACCGTCCCCAGCCGCCCGGCACCACGCAGCCACCTGCTCCTCGAAGGCCTGTGGCAGGCGGCACGAAAGGATGTGAGCAGGGGCACCCCCAGCCCGCTCCCCCCACACGGGGCCGGCACCATGCCCACCTTCAGGTCCACGGTGGGTGGGATGCGGATGTCAAAGCCGACGGCCATCTCAGAGGGCACCACGTTGAAGGAGACTCCCCCCTCCAGCAAGGTCATGTTGAGCGAGGTGACATCCCCCAAGGTCAGGCTTGTGTTGGACTTAAGTCTTGGGGGATGCAGGGGACAGTCACCCTCTGTCCCGAGAGGAGGAGGGGAAATGCTCCCTGCCCCCACCTCCATGCAGGTAAACAGAAGCATGGGGATGCAGTGCCGGATCAGAGCCTCGCTTTGGACCTCCTGGATGCCAAAGGGGGGCAAAGCCCCTCCAAGGACCACAGTGAGGCCAACGCAGCCCCTCCAGCCATATCCTACCTCTGCTTCTCGCTCTCCCTGAAGGCCAGGAAGGAGGTGATCACTTTGTGCTGGGGAGGAGGCAAACATATGATGTAAACATCCCAGAACCACCTGGTCAGGGCTTACCATACAGCCCCTCCCCATGCCCCCCATCAGCAGCTCCCAGCCACAAGCCCGGTGCCCACTGCAGAGGGCTCCCACCCCAGGCCCCCACAGGGCACACCACTGTTCCCTTACCAACTTCTCGGCCGCGGTGTTCGTGATGAAGCGGGACCCATGCCCAGGGCTGCCTGTGCACTTCACCTTGATCCCTGAGGAAGAGGCGCTGAGCTGGGTGCACCCAGCACCCCAGAACCCAGCAGAGCAAGGGACAGGATGGCAGGCACACCATTACTCACACCAAGGGCTCTTCTCCCCATAGAAGACACTGTAGGTGTCGGATGGGCTGGCCAAGCCTGTGGTGGGCACAGCAAGGGGAACAGATGTGTCCCAACTGGTGCACTGCGGGGTCAGGGGCTGGGATGCCTAAGGGGACCCCAGGAGCTGTGCTGAGCGCCCCTGCCTTGGGGGCAATGCCAAATGTGCACAATGCCATGAGGTCCCGCTGGCTCCCAGCACAGCCATGCCATCACTCACCTTCATCTAGGGCAAAGCCCACGTTGAGTGCTTTGAACTCCGGGCGCTGCAAGAACATCACCATGCCCTTGTGTCCGCCCACCTCCTCGTCTGTGGGGAGAAAACTGGCATGGGTGAAGGGATCCTCCACCCAAACACCGTGCTTCCATGCTAGCCTGGTGCCATTGGCCACCCCCAGAACCACACAGCCCTTCATCCTAGAGCCAGTGGAACCCAAAACCCGGACAGGTTAGCAGAGGTGTCCCATGCCCAGGATGCGGGGAGCCACACAGCGTCACCCAGCCCACCCTGTTCCTTAGGAGGACACTCACCAGGCACAAAACTCAGGTGGATGGTGCGGGCAAAGCTCTTCCCTTCTGCCTTCAGCCTTCGGATGGCCTCAAGGTACCTGCGGGTGATGTGAGGAGATGGTTTGAAAGTGCTGGGTGCAGGGAGTGGGGCTGACACCCCTGAGCCACCATGTGCACCAAGCCCCCACTCACTGGATGGAGACACACTTCATGTCCTGGGCACCTCGGGCATAGATGTTGCCCTGGGAATCCTTAACAGCTTCGAAGGGCGGGTAGGTCCAGTGCTCCTGTGGGAAGATCAGCTGTGACCCCATATCACGAGGCTACCCCTGTGCCCGGCCCCTCCGACCCCGTACCTCGAAAACTGGCACAACGTCGGTGTGGGAGTTGAGCAGGATGGAGCGCAGGCGGGGATTTGTGCCCGGCCAGGTGAGGACCAGCACCACACGGCCCTGGCACACCTGTGAGCAGAGGCTGCATGTCACTGGGGTGGGACAGGGGGACGCAGCGGTTGGGACAGGCTCATTCCCCCACCGCGGCCACTTGGCAGCCACAAGCAATTCAGAGGAAGTAAAACCCTAAGGCCTGGGTGTCCCCTGTGCCAGCCACTGTCCCTTCCTGGACAGACACAGGGGACATCTGCAGCCAGCGTCACCCTGCCTGGTCCCTGGCTAATCATAGCACAGCCAGCCACAAAGGTCAGAGGGACAGGCAGGATCAGCAGAGCATTAGGGCAGCAGCAGGCACCTCCTGCCACCCGTGGGCTGGTGAGGAGAGGACCTGACCCCCAGCAATGGTGTGGGACCAGCCCTGGGGCTGCCCTGCTCACCTCCACTTTCTGGCACGCCAAGCCCAAGTCGGTGCCCACACGCTCCAAAAACTGGACTGCTGCATCTGGGGGTGAGAAAAGATGGATGATGGGGTGAATTCATGGCAAAGCAAGGGTGGCCTTGCCCGAAGCACGGTGGGGATAAGGCACTGCACTCTTCCTTGCGCTGGGACTGCAACAGCCCGGGCCTCGAGCATCAGGCACGTGGGTCCAAAGAACGATCCAAAGAGCAGCGCAGGGGAAGGAGCCACGCTGGCAGCCTCGAGCCCTGGGTGCCCCCCCCGCCACATCCCTGCTCTCCTCACCGTAGTCAGGCTTGGGGTGCACGGTGTCGATCCTCAGGTACTCTCGGAAAAGTGTCACCGAAGGGTTCTCTGAGGCCCCCGCACTCTTCCCTTGCTTGCCGGGTGCCATTCCCGGACTGCAGAGCCGCGGGGGAAGAGACAGTTAAACCCCTCCTTCCGTCCCCCGCTCCTCCGAAGCAGGACGGGGCAAAGTTCGGCCCTTGGGAGGAACGGGGCTGAGGTGGGGGTGGAGGGGCCGTGGGGTCGGCGGGGGCTGCGGGAGGGTGGCGGGGGGTGCGCGCACACGCGGCGCTCAGTGGGGCGCAGGAGCCAGGAAAACACCGCGGGTTTGTGGGGCGGAGGGCACGAGGAGCTCAGGGGATCGCACGGTGCCACGCTTGCGGTGCGGGGAACCGGGGGACCGAGGGTGCGCGGCCCCATAACTGGGGTGCGGGCAAGGAGTGGTAGGTTCGGGGCTGCCCCCCGCCCGACGCCGCCCGTTCCCTGCCCCGAACCCCCGCTGCCCCCGGCCCTACCTCCGCGCCGCCGTCGCTGCCGGCCCGCTCCCGCTCCGCCCCCCCGGCCCCGCTCCGCCCCGCTCCATCCCGCTCCGCCCCGAGGCGCCTGGGGACACGGCAGAGACCGGAGCGCGACGTGTTTATTGGCCTCGGGACAGGCGGCTCGCAGATCCTTCCTTCCAGCTCGCGGCCCCCCTCCCCCGCCAGCATCGCAGCACCGTGCCCAGAGCGCTGGCACCAGGGTTGCCCTGCCAGAACATCATTCTGAAATTCAGTGAAGGTACCAGGGGGCCCTGGGTGGGCACAGAACAGCCCCCTCTCCCCCAAGGCAGTAGGCACAGCCCCAAGCTGCTGCTCAGAGGGCGTTTGGACATCACTCTCAGTGTTTTTGTGTGGTTCTGTGTGGAGCCAGCACCTCTTCCAACTTGGGATATTCCATGATTCCACAGTTCGATGAGCATGGAACCTCTGCTCCCAACCACAAGAGGGAGAGGCGATGCTGCAGGAGGGCACTGCTGGCGATTCACCCCCAGCCCCACACCACCTCCCCACCTCCCAGCGAGGCACAGGGGCAAAGCCAAGGCCCCACTGCCCTCTGCTCAGTGCAGCAGCACCCAGATCATTGCAGCTGGCCCAGGAAGCCAAGCAGGGCCCGGTGGAAGTCGTCCGGCTTGTCCATGTAGCAGGCATGGCCAGCACCAGGCAGCACAACCACGCGGTGCTTGGGGAGATGCTGGAGGCTCTGCAGGGCCTGCTGGCCCAGGCCGGTGTCACGCTCACCATACAGGATCAGGGTGGGCGTCTGAAAAAGAGGAGAGAAAGGATATCGGAGAGGTGGGATGTCAACCCCAGCCCAATCAGCACCTCTGTAAAGCGGCAGGAGAGCTGGGAGCACAGCACCCAGCACCCTGCCGGCCTCACCTGGACCTGCTGGTACTGCACGGCGCTGTATTCCCGCGTGCCCACGGGTGCGATGGGCACGAAGCCGGACAGCTGCTCACCATGTGCCAAGAGGAAGGGCAGGGCAAAGCGGCCGCTCATGGATGGGCTGATGAGGACCGGTCTCTGCAGGCCCAGCTGCCGCACGACACGCTGCAGGAAGGCTGCCCGACCCCACTGCGTGGCCACTGAGCCTGCGGCGGGTGAATCCCCATAGCCTGGGGGGGGGACAGAGGATGCAGGGCTGGGGTTCAGCAGGAGAGCACCGCGAGCCCTTTGGGTGGCGGCCTGGAGGGCCCGCAGCCCGCGTCGGCACTCTCGGTCCTACCGGGCAGATCGATGGCGACGGCGCGGTGTCCTTCGGCGGCGAGCAGCGACAGCGTGCCCAGGGCCTGCCACGTGCCGGAAGTGAAAGCCTGGCCGTGCAGCAGCAGTACGTCGGGCCTGCGGGGGGACACGAGGGCTCGGCACGGCGCGGGGCCGCGAGCCGCTCGCTGCGGGACAGCGACAGCGCGGCGGGACGCGGGGAGCCGCGGGCAGACCCACCTGCTGGATGCCGGGAATCGCGGCGCGGCGGCCTCCCTATAGGCGACGGCGGGGTCACCCGGCGTCACTCCCGCCCGCACCGTGGCGTTGGCCGGGAGTCGGGCCGGGCCGTGGCGGCGGGCGGCGGGCAGCAGCAGGAGCGGGACACAGACCAGCACGGCGCCCAGGGCCAGCAGCGCCAGGCGGCCGCGGGGCATGGCGGATGGCGGGACGTGCGAGGGTCGGATTGCCGCCCCGCGGAGCGCCCGCGCGAACCCGGGGCCCGACCTCGTTCGGCCGCGCTCGGCTCGGCGTGGCTCGGGAAGGCTCGGCTGAGCTCGGCGGCGCTCGGCAGGGTTCGGCTCCGCTCGGCAGCGCTCGGCTCGGCTTGCTTTTGATCGCCGTGAAAACAGGCGTTCCTCACACAATCCTCACTAACCACACGAGCAGAAAGCATCCCCGTCCCCGAAATCAACACCACGGCCTTTCGGCGGAGTTGTGGGCACGCTCCGCCCCTCGTCCCCCTGCATACGACAAAAGCTCGCAGGGCTCGGATAGGGCTCGGGTTGGGGCTCGGGGGGCTCGGGTAGCATTCGGCAGAGCTCGGGTAGTACTGGGATGCGCTCGGCTCGGCAGGACTCGAGTGGACCTCTGCAGAGCTCGGCAGAACTCGGAAAGTGCTCGGAAGGGCTCGGCTCGGTTAGGGCTCGGGCAGGGCTGGGCACGGCTCGGCAGAACTCGGCTCGGCTCGGGCAGGGCTCGGCAGGGCTCGGCTCAGCTCGCGCAGGGCTCGGCAAGCCTCGGTTCCACCCGCCCGCTCTCGGCCGTGCCCGCCAGGCGGCGCCCCCGCTCCCTCCGCCCCCTGCGGCCTTCGGACCCGGGCGGCGCCCCGAGGCCCGGGCCGGGCTCGGAGCGGTACCGAGCCATGGCCGGCGCGCGGCTCACCGAGGGCACCGTGACGGTGGAGGGGCAGAGCCTCTTCTACCGGGAGGCCCACCCGCAGCGGGCCCCGCGGCTGAACGTGCTGCTGCTGCACGGCATCCGCTTCTCCTCGGACACCTGGCTGCAGCTGCACACGATGGCCGTGCTGGCTGATGCCGGCTACCGGGCCGTGGCCGTCGACCTGCCGGGTAAGGCACGGCCGAGGGCACGTGGCGACGGCGCGGTGGCAGCCGTGTGACACGCAGCCCCTCGCTCCCAGGGCTGGGCCGCTCCAAGGACGCCGTGGCCCCCGCTCCGGTGGGGCAGCCGGCACCGGGAGCCTTCCTGAAGGCGGTGGTGGAGGCGCTGGGCCTGGCCCCGGCCGTGCTGGTCAGCCCGTCGCTCAGCGGCATGTACTCGCTGCCCTTCCTCTTCCAGCACGGGCACCTGCTGAAGGCCTACGTGCCCGTGGCGCCCATCTGCACAGAGAAGTTTGAGGCGCAGCAGTACGCCGGTGTCCAGGTAACGGGGTTGGGCATGGAGCATCTTCCCTTCCTCACCCCCATCTCTCCTCTGGGAGATGGGGAAAGGGTAGGAGAGGTGCTCCTGCTGGAGGTGTAATGCTGCCCTGGGCCAGCGTTGCAAGCTGCAGCAATGCGAGCGTGGCCTGTGTACCTCTCTGCAGACGCCCACCCTGATTGTCTATGGGGACCAGGACGTCGAGCTGGGCCAGGTCAGCCTCAGCAACTTGCGACACTTGGCCCGCCACCAGGTGCTGGTGCTGCAGGGCGCCGGGCATGCCTGCTACCTGGACAAGCCCGAGGAGTGGCACCGTGGACTGCTGGCCTTCCTGCAGCAGTTGGAGTGAATGGGATGGGGAGGGCCACCCTTGGCACCACTGCTTCGTCGGGACCAAATAAAACCCTGAGATGTGCTGCCGCCCTGCTGCTTTGTTCCCTCCTCATCACGGCACGTGCAGCGGGGGACGGCCACCCTCCTCCTGGCCTCATCCCCATCCTCTTCTCTCCTGCTTTGTTCCCTCCTCACTGTCTCGCACACATTGGTTGACGGCGGCCCTCCTCCTGGCCTCATCCTCATCCTCTTCTTCCTCTTCCCACCCCTCCGGCCGCACACCCACTCCTAGGTTAATCCACAGGGGCTTAAAAGGTGACTGTCATCCTCAGCCGTCCCCTGCCTGTGGTGGCAGCCAGCATGTCCCAAGCACCCGGCGGATTTATGGTCACCAACAGATGGGGGGGAAAGGCAGGGGAGGCCAGACAGACGCCTGGCTGGACAGACAGAGTGCCGCTCGGTGCCCGCCACCTGCCTTTCCCCACTTGCTGAGCCAACCCTGGGGATGCAGATGGAGCCGGCAGCGGGGTGCCACCCCCCTCCCTGCTCCCCCTCCAAGCCTGCCTGGGCTTTAGCTGCTTACGCCAGGGCCTATGAGGATTTAGTGGGGGAGGCACGCGGGCGGCGGGGGGGTGACACTGGCAGCGTGTCGGTGTGTGATGGGGGGCATGGAGCGGGGTAGGGGCCTGCTGGCACAGGGTGCTCAGCGCTTTGCAGCATCCATCTGCTGCTCCGGCACCACAGCCCTAAGGGTGCCCACCCCCAACAGCACCCCTGGGTGCCGCCGTCCCGGCGTTGCCCTCCCGGTGCCCTTGAGCCCTTGAGCCCTGCCAGCTGATCGGCTTCCAGGAACAACAACAACAAAAAAAAATCAATTACAAAGAGGGGCGATGTGCGAGCCAAGTGTGGGGGGGGACAGGAATGTCCCCAGCGGTGGCAGATGGCCTTACCCAGGGTGCATTGTTCCTTTTAGTGTCTCTTATCCGCTGTAATAGGATCCCGGAGGGAGGGCTGTGGGAGAGGGGAAGAGCGAGGGGGGCCCCAGCGGGCCGGGGTGGGGGCCGGGGCTGCCAGCCTGCCCCGAGCCCGTCAAGCGGCTCATTGTTCCGCGGCCCGGGTGGCACGGGGCGGCCCCGGCGGCATGCGGCACTGAGCGGCGGCGGTGCGGAGAGGTACCGGGCTGCGAGCGGGGCGGGGGGAGCGGAGAAACTTTCCTTCTGGGCGATGGGGGGTGGTCGCGCTGTCCCCTCACCACCTCCCGCTGCTGCCCGGCACCCGGCCCTTGTCCCCACGCCCCCCCCCCGGCGGCAGACGGCGCCGTGCTTTCCTCCTCCCCGCACCCCCCTCGCCATCGGCTCTCGTGCCCCCGCTTTTGTCCCCGCCGGGTCACCCGTGGGGGCTCGGGGGCTGCTGGCGCTGCCGCCGCCCCACCCCGCTCCCCTGATGGCCACCTCGGCGGCGAGCCCTGCCAGCACCCAGAATAGCCGTGCCCCCTCCCCCCGACAGCGCCCGCAGACCGGGCCCCATCCCCACCGCGGGTGCTTTGTTCCAAAGCCGCTTGGCATCGCCGCCGGCATCCCGCCCACCCGCTCCCGGACACGCGGCGATTGTCCCCTGCTGTCCCCTCCCCGGCCGCCTCGGGGCATGAGGTGCTGCTGGGTGCCTCCCCCCTTCCCCTAGGCATTCCCCAGCCGGGGGGTCCGGCCACCCCCAGCCCAGGGGTCGGGACACCTGGCCGTACCCCGCAGGAAACCCCATGTCCCCCAGGCCATGGCATCACCGGACAGAGCGAGCGGCCCCAGAGAGCCGCAGCTCAGCATCACCCTGACCCTCCGCATGCTGATGCACGGCAAGGTAACCTGCCCTGGGGATGGGGGAGTGGTTCCGGGGAGGATTTCGTGCCCCTCACCCTAAGTCTGGGCTGTCCTCACCCCTGGGGACACATGGTTGGTGATACTGGGATCATCTGCTAACAGAGCTGCCCTCTGCTCCCACAGGAGATCGGCAGCATCATTGGCAAGGTAAGAGCCGGGGGATTTGGGCTGTGCCACCCCGGGGGGCTCCTGGCCCTGACCGCCAGCCCTGTTCCTCTTCCCACAGAAAGGAGAGACAGTAAAGAGGATACGGGAGCAGGTAAGGGCACGTGGGGGGGTTGTGGGTCCCCTGCTGTCCCCTCCCCGGCCGCCTGTCCTGGTGCCTTTAGGTGGCTCACGGCTCTGGGTGGGATGGGGCAAGGACCGCAGGGAGGGGGTGACACAGAGCTGAAGCAGTGCTGAGCTCTGTGCCCCTGACGGGACGCACCGCCGTCCCCAGAGCAGCGCGCGCATCACCATCTCGGAGGGCTCCTGCCCCGAGCGCATCACCACCATCACCGGCTCCACCGACGCCGTCTTCCGCGCCGTCTCCATGATAGCCTTCAAACTGGAGGAGGTGAGCGCTCCCTGCCCTATAGTGGGACTCTGGGAGCCCCCCACTCCCAGGGGAAGCCAGACCTTGTATGTGTGTCCCTCCGCAGGACCTGGGGGATGGGACGGCGGCAGGGAGGACACCGGTGACGCTGCGTCTTGTCATCCCAGCCAGCCAGTGCGGCTCGCTCATCGGCAAGGCGGGCACCAAGATCAGGGAGATCCGGGAGGTGAGATCCCCCGGCACGATGCAGGAGCACAGTGTCCCCCCGCCGTTCCCAGCCAAGTCCCACAGCCCCCCCATTTTCTCCCCAGAGCTCAGGGGCTCAGGTGCAGGTGGCTGGCGACCTGCTGCCCAACTCCACAGAGCGCGCCGTCACCGTCTCGGGGGTGCCGGACACCATCATCCAGTGTGTGAGGCAGATCTGTGCCGTCATCCTGGAGGTACTGGCAGCTGGCTCACGGTGCTGTGGGAGGTGTGGTGTGGGCTGGGGGGACCTTGACCCCATTGCTCATCCCCTCCACCTCCTTTCCTCCCTGTGCAGTCGCCTCCTAAGGGGGCCACCATCCCCTACCACCCTGGGCTCTCCCTGGGTACCATTCTGCTCTCTGCCAACCAGGTAAGGGGCGCTGGGGCAGGGGGACCCCCTGTCTGCATGGGCACAGGTCCCTGCGTGGTTCCCAACTGATGCCCATTGCCCCCCCAGGGTTTCTCCATGCAGGGGCAATACAGCGGGGTCTCTCCGGCGGAAGTGAGTCTCTCCCAGCCCTGCTCCTTGGTTCATGGGGCCAATTCTGGGGGTGTCACCATGGGCATGGGGTCTGGTAGCCTGCAGCTGGGGTGGGGTGCAGTGGGATGGGATGTGGTATGATGGGAAGTTGTGGGATGGGGTGGGGAGGGGTAGGACGCAGGGGGATGGGATGACATAGGGTGGGGTGGAATGGAGTGGGATGGGGTGGGATGGAATGGTATGGGATGAGGTAGAATGGGATAAGATGGAGTACACAGAGGGGGTGGGGTACGATGGAAGGGGGAGGGATGGAATGGAATGAGGTGGGATATGATGGAACGGGGTGGGATGGGGTGCAGTGAGGTATGATGGGAAGAGGGTAGGGTGGGATAGAATGAAATGGGATGGAATGGGATACTGTGGAATGGAATGGAGTGGGGTAGGATGGAATGGGTTAGAATGAGGTGGAATGGGATGAGAATGGGGTTTAATGTAATCAGGTAGGATTTGATGGGATAGGCAGGGGTACAGTGGGAGTGGAAATAGATGGGACGTAGGGGAATGGGAGGGGATGCAGTATAATGAGATGGGGTGGGGTGGAATGGGATGGGATGCGGTGTGATGAGATGGGTTAGAGTGGGATGGGTTGAGGTGGGATGGGATGTGCACTGTGTGGATGCCAGAGTCCAGCCAGGGGCGTGAGACCATGCCATCAAACCTGCCTTCCTACTGTCTGCATCTCCTCTCTCTCCCTGGACAGGTCACAAAACTGCAGCAAATGTCGGGGCACACCGTCCCCTTCCCACCACTGGGCCACCCGCCCTCCATGGTTCCAGGTGAGCTCCCCGTGGAGCTAGAGACAGTGAGTTGTGCCCTTCTTGTTCCGTGCTGGGCGCTTGCAAGAGCATGGGAGTCCATGTCCTCTCCTCCCATCTCCAGTCCCATCTCCTTGGCGTGCCATCCCACACCAGAAAGTCCCTGTCTTTGGTCTCCCAGTGTCCCAGTGCCCCCAAGCCCTCCACCCCAATGACAGGAGCTCCAGTGCCCACATCCCATCTTCCCTATGGCCTTTCCTTGTTGGTCCTTTGGGTTTGTCTTCGCAGCAACGTCCCCCCACATTTGGAGGGCACAGGGCTGCTGGAGACCCCCCTAACTCCATCATTTCTCCCTCCAGGGCTGGACTCAAACTCCCAAAGCAGCTCTCAGGAGTTCCTGGTGCCCAATGATGTAAGTGTGGGTCCTCACGAAGTCCCCATTTCCCCATACGTGTCCTGCACCTCTCACCTTGGTGCTCCCCCCCCAGCTGATCGGCTGCATCATCGGCCGGCACGGCAGCAAGATCAGTGAGATCCGGCAGATGTCGGGCGCCCACATCAAGATTGGGAACCAGACCGAGGGCTCCAGTGAGCGGCACATCACCATCACGGGGTCCCCCGTCAGCATCACGCTGGCTCAGTACCTCATCACCACCTGGTAAGCGCCCCAAAGAGCTGGGGCTGGATGCTGGCACCGCTGACAGAAGGCACGGGGCGAAGGTCCGTGTGCCCTACAGCGGGCAGGTGGCCCCTTTGTCACCGTGCCCCTCACCATGCCGCTTGACCCCCCCAGCTTAGAGACGGCCAAATCTACCTCCCAGGTGCCACTCGGCCCTGGCTCCGTGGATCTCGGTGTGGGCTTCTCGCAGCCGCTCGCTCCGGGCTCCAGCGCAGCGCTGCCTGCTGTCCCTGCCACCCCCCCGGCTCTGCTGGGCACCCCCTATGCCCTCTCTCTCTCCAACTTCATCGGCCTGAAGCCACTCTCCTTCCTGGCGCTGTCCCCATCCTCCGCGGCAGGTGCCAATGGTGGCACTGCCACCTACACGACCAAGATCTCGGCGGCCAACGGCACCAAGAAAGCTGATCGGCAGAAGTTCTCTCCCTACTGAACCCCTCTGTGGGTGAACAAGGGAGGTCCTGGTGCCACCTGGTGCCAAGGACACCCCTTGTCCTCCATCCCTCCCCCAGTCGTCCCCCCAGCATCCCATGCCCAGGGGAGGGGGGCCCAGAAGTGATGGCCTCTGGAGCAAAAAGAGTTGCTCCAATGCCCATCCTGGCAGCACTGTGTCCCCTCTCCCCCCCAAACTTGCTATGGTATGGGTAGGAGGGCTGTCTCTGCTGGGGGGGGGGGACATCCTCCAACTCCCTGGTGTCCTTTGTCCCTACCTTTGCCCACACTGCTGTCCCTCTCCTGCCATCCCCAACCCTCTGGGCTGAACCCCAGAGCTGCTGAGGGGCTGCCTGGCCTCTATGGTGTTCCCCCATCCCCTGGCTGTGTCAGGGGGACTTTCCCCTGGGCAGTCACCTCCCTCCCAGCAACCCCCAAGAGCCTGCTGGCTTGGAAATGCTGTATATATAAGTCTATATTTTTCCTCCTTTGTAACTTATCAATGGTTTAATAAAAAGATCAAATTTATGTGAAAAAGATACATTTTCCACCTCCCGAGTGGAGACTCCCCCAGCTCAGGGAAGTGCATGAGGTGACAGCAGAGGGGTGGCCCTGTGGCCAGTGATCTTCCCTGAGCCCCCTCCCTGCCCCGTGCACCTTTCCCCAGCCCCTATTGCTGGAGTAGGGTTTCCTGTTTTTGGAGACTAGGAGCACAGCATCCCCCCCAGCAGCATCCTGACTTTCAGGAGGGGAGGTACTGGGCACCATGGGCACTGGTGTTATGGTGTTAGTGGTGTTATCTGAGCTGGGGAGGGTGCAGGGTGACCCTGGCAGGAGTCCCACAGGGGAGTGGTCCCCAAGCTGTAGCTCCTCAGCTTCCTATGTCCCATGTGCTGCAGGAGCCAGGGATGTTCCCAGCATGCAGAATGGAAATGACAGCACCCGAAATGCGGCCAAGAGCCCTTCCTCCAGCATGCAGACTGGGACAGCAGGCAAAACGTGGACCAGGAGCAAAGAGGATGGTTCCCAGAGCTACAGTGGCACGGAGCTCTGCTCTTGGACGCTCTCTTCGGGAACCTGGCCCGGGATGGGGCAGCCCCCCTTGCCCTGCTCCAGCTTGTTCCTGGGGCTGATGCACCCAGCATGGGTTTCCAGCGTGCAGGTAGCCCTCTGGAGGAACTGCAGGACGTTTTCCTGGACAGAGGCCTCAGAAATGGCCAAGCACAGCTCTTGGCCCAGCGGACGGTGGAGGAGACTGCGCCAGAGCCGGGCCAGCTCCTGGCGGATCTGTCGGTTAAGCAGCCCATAGAAGAAGGGGTTGATGGCGAAGGAGGAGTAGGCAATCCAGGTGACCACCATCTCGCTGTGCCCACCGCCCTCCGCAGCGGCACCCACAGAGGAGTGCAGGTGGAAGGCAAAGAAGGGCAGCCAGCAGCACAGGAACTGTCCCACGATGAGCAGCAAGGTGAGGATGGCCTTGTTCCCTCCCAGAAAGCGCTCAGGTGCCAGCCGGGGCAGCGGCAGGTTCCGCATGGTGACGATGGTCAGTTGGCTGGCAATGGAGTCACAACGGGGCCGTGGGGCAGCCGCCGGGGCAGGTGTGTGCTGTAGGGCTGCCAGCCGGGCCACCCGGTAGACACTGCAGTAGACGGCAAAGATGATAATGGTGGGCAGGATGAAGCAGGTGATGCTAAAGATGATGACAAAAGCCTCCTTGTGGGCCCCAGGGCTCCAATAGACCGTACAGCGGCTGGCGCTGGTGGCCCCGTTGTCTTGAGGCCAGCCCACCAGTGCCAGGATGGTGATGAGGACAGACTTGACCCAAATGAGGATAACCCCGGCCACAGCCAGCCTGATGGTCATCTTGACCTCGTAGCGCAGGGGGTGGACGATGTAGTAGTACCGCTCAACACTGATGATGGAGACGGTGAGGATGGAGGCGCTGATGAAACAGACGTTAAGGAATATCAAGGCCTGGCACTCAGCGATGCTGTAGATGACCCTGTCGAAGCAGGAGGAGCTGGAGATGATCCCCAGAGGCATGAGGAAGATGGCAGAGAGGAGGTCAACCACGCAGAGGTGGCAGACAAAGATGAACTTGCGGACGAGGGGCGTCTTCAGGATGACCACCATCACCACCACATTGGCCACTAGGGCAGTGATAGTGAGCAGGACCATGCAGAGGAGGCCCAGCACCTCCTGTGCTGTGGACTGCTCTGGAATGGTGGGGTACTCCAGGCTGGCCGTGGCATTCGGCCCCATCCGGCTAGCCATACCCACAGGAACTAAGCCAGCAGCTCTGCTGCCGGTATCACACGGACAGAATTCCTGCATCCCATGGAGGGAGAGCCCACCGTGGGCATGGCCGCTGTCTTCTCATGGCCCCTTGCCTGCTGGGGAAGGAGAAGATGAAGGAGCAAAACCAGAGCCACAGAGAAACCCAGAGGTGGTCTCCAAAATATTGCGGAGAGATGGCAGGGCAGGGATGACACAGGGGGACCTGCTGGCACCCCAGGCAGCCCGACATCCCATCCCCTGTTCCACAGAGGGACAAAGCCAACCCCACCCACACCATGCCTGCAGCCCCTGCTCCGGGTCCCCCTCCTCACTGCTGGGGGTCACCAAGCAGTGGGGTGGCACCAACGTACCTTGGCTTCTTGGGAACGGGCAACGCTTCCTTCCCTGGGACCGGTCCTTGTCACCAGCACTGCTCATGCTGCAGGAATGGGGTTCCCGGGGCCACATCCACCCCTCCCTGGCTGTCACCCATTAGTCATCCTGTTTGCCTGTCGCCGATGGCACCGGCTGTCACCCCCGGGCTCTCCCCGCCCACTGACAGTGCTGGGGACAGCTGCTGGGTCCTAGCAGCCGGCGGGCGACAGGGCAGGGAAGACTGAGGGTCTGCAGCCAAAAAGGCCCTTCCCACACTGAAACATACTGCAAAGTGTAGGGGGCTGGTGCTGCGAGACTGGGGAGTGCAGGGTGTCCCTGAGGCAGTCCCCAGTTGAGCATCAGGGTGGCACAGCCAAGTGTCATTGCACGGACACTGACTTGTGCCTGGGGGGATGCAGGGGACAGAGTGGGGCTTGGCATGGTACCAGTGGAGGGCAGGCACTGGGGACACAGGGACAGGCTCATCCATGCTCATCCCTTCATAGCCCTTATGCCACAGTGGTGAGCACAAGTCTGGCTACAGTTATGAGATCTGCAGCCCACCCAAAGCCGCCCACAACAGGGGTAACCCCTGGCCATAGCACCAACCAGGGTTCCCTGGTCAGCCCCTCCATGCCGGCAGGAAAGCAGCCACACTGCTGATGCAGGGCACGGTGAATTTATTGCTCATGGGAGCAGGCTGGATGCCCCATCTCACACCTAAGTAAGTGGCCACAAGAGCTGGATTCCTGCACTCCATGCTGGCAGCACTCTGCTGCCAAGAGGGGACACAAGGAGCCTGATGCTCTCAGAAGTGGAGCTGGACGAGATAGCGGATCCTGCACTGGCTTTCCTGGTAGATGAGGTACTCGCTTTGGAAGGACGAGTCCTTGTAGGCGGGCACGGGGATCGGCTTGCCTTGGCACACCAACACCTTCTTCCCATCCAGCATCACCTCCACATCCTGTGCAGGGTCTGGACAAGAAGACTCCACTAGTACCAGCCCTGAGGGCCATCCCAAGGCCCCCAGTCCCACCACTCACCTGGCTCCGTGCGACCACAGGCCAGGACGCTGTCATAGCCATCGGGCGGCTGCTGCAGCGTGGGCTCATCGCGGGTGATGCAGTACTGTTTGCCCAGAGCCACCTCCGTCAGGAACATCAAGCCAACTCGCGTGGATGTGCAGCCCACTGACACCAGGAAGGGAAATGAAGGGGAAGGAGTGATGGCACCAGAGTTGCCACTCATTTGTGTGTGAGTCCCTAGCATGGAAGGGGCTTGGCAGAGGTGCCACAAAGAGCTAGGCTCGCACCGACCCCACAGACACCCCAAACAGCCCGCTGCTCACCGTAGCCAGCAGACTTGCTATTCTCAGAGGCAAAGTAGATGCCCTTGCCCACGCGTCCCCCCGAGTGGGGCATGATGCGCAGCCCATTCCTCAGGATGGCCGCGACCACTGCCACGTTGGTGCCGTGCCACAGCAGGCGCCGGTGCTCCAGGTGGTCATGGGCCTGGAAGAGCTTGTCCTGGAGAGACACAGAGCCGAGGGCTGGCCAGGGAGGGGCACACAGGGTTGGCCCAACTCCCCTGCCCAGCCAGCCGGCGTTCCCGCTCTGCTGTATGTAAGTGGCCCTGGATCTGCAGACAAAGCCCAGTCCAGAGGGCACAGCTGGGGTCTCCTCAGGCTCCTTCTTCTCACCTCACCCTCTTGGGTCACCTTCCAGACGTTGAGGATGTAGACCTGGCCCCCTGTCTGTGTCACATAGTTCAGGATCATCTGCAAGGAAGGACACGGTGTCACTGCTGGCTGCCCATAACCGTGTCCCCAGAGTGTCTGCATGGCACTGGGGACCTTCACACCTCACACTCTTGGGAGGTGTGCTCCAGCAGGGAGAGCTGGCAGCACAGCAGGGCGTAGTCCTGGTCCAAGGGGTGGGTGACCACCTCCTCCTCCTCCTCCACCTTCTGTGCCTGCAGACTCTGTGCCACCTCGATGTCAGCCAGCACCTGGAAGGGACAGAGCAGGGACACATTCATTGTGGGCCAGGACAAGGCTCCCACTACCTCTCCACCCCACAGGGACAGATGCCACTGCCACATCTCACCAGCAGCATGTCTTTCTTGGCACGCAGCAGCTCGGGGGAATCAATGGGGGGTGGCCGTGCCCGCCCAAAGTTGTGGGGCACAATGATGTAGAAGCGTGAGGAGAGCTCCTCCAGCCGGGACATCCTGCAGGGTTGCTCCCCCAGTGCAGCTTCCAGCTCCTCCAGTGCCTCGAAGCCCTGAGCAATCTGCTGCTTGCTCAGCTTCCCCAATGGCATCTTCTTCACATCTGGCAGGGGTGAAGCGCACGCTGTCAGCCCACATCTCGTGCCAGCGTGCTAGCATTCCCCAGCCCCACTGTGCTGAGCAGCCCCAGCATCACCACAGCCAAAGGGGATGCTCAGAAACCCACCAGCACCTCTGCACTCATCAGGCCCCCTGGCACCTCCTACCAATATTCATGGTCTGCATGGCGTGGCGGAACATGTCGCTGCTGAAGATGAGGGCCACCAGCTCCTGCGTGGTCTCATCCAAGGCACAAGGCAGCATGCGGCACTTGGAGACCTTCCCATCACCCACACCATCCGTCTGTGGGAGCAAACCCCAGCCTTGTGCTGTCCCTGGGTCATGCCCGATGCCACTATGATGTCTGTGGTGCTCAGTAGAGAGCGCCAAGCTTGCCTCCTTGTCCATCCCACAGCCCACCCTGCTCACCCTGCTGGATGTCTCAGGCTCAGCATTGAGGCAATGCCACTCACCCTGAGGGCCACCTCCTGCCCGGCGCCGGGCTGCACCTCTATCAAGGTGTACTTTCCTGGCTGGGCCACAAAGTTTTTCCGTGCTGCCCAGCTGTTCTTGGTCTTTTCCCAAAACTTTTTCTCAAAATCCTTCTTGGCAGCTTCCAGAGAGGTGAACGACAGGAGCTTGGACTGGCCCACTTCTCCCTGAAGCAGACCCAGTATCAGAGGCACTGCATGGGAGCCATGGGCACCTGGTGCCATGGGTTTCCTTGCTGTGGTGCCTCCTCAGCATGAGGATGTATCCTTGTTTCCCCCCAGGGAAGGGTTGTGGCAGAGCTGCTCGCTTTGGGACTGGGAATTTGGGATGGGGGAGCTGGCAGGGAGCACCTCAACCCCATTCAGGGATGGCCACAGGTTAGCTCACCACACGTCCCCAGCGGTTCCAGGTGCTGTAGGTGCCATCGTGCATGATGAGCTGGATGATGTAGAACTTGTTGTTGTTGGCTCTGATGTTGCTTTGGTTCAGGGTGCAGTCATAGTCCTCATAGACCTATGGCAGGCAGCAGGTTGGGGTGGCACTGGGGGCAGAGGGGTGCTTCACCCATTTGGGGGTGTGGGGGTCCCCATTAGTCCTCTCCATTCTCCTTCCATCCCCAGATGCTCCTCCCCACACTCACCTGTGCATCAGGCCCTGCACTCAAGGGACACTGCCCATCAATGGTGGCGGGGGGTTCTCCTTGGGGGCTGCCTTCAAGGCAGTGAGCGCGGAGCTCCAGGCATCCTCCTCCTCCTCCTGCCCCCCCTTGGCTTTCTTGCCCCCATCAGCAGGCTGGGATGCAAGGGGTGCTCGGCGCTTGGGGGCCATGGGCCAGCTGCTCCCGTGGGGCTTCAGCTTTTGAGCAGCAGGCTGTGGGAGAGAGAGATGCCGGGTTCCCCTTCCAGGAAGGTCCAGCTGGGCTGTACCTTGGCTGTCCTATGCCTATAGCCAGGAACTGGGCGGGAGGAGGGGAGCATGGGGATCTGCTATGGGGGGAGCTGAGCAGGGTAGGCTCCAGGGTTTAGAGCAGTGGACGCTGGGGGCAGCGAGAGGAATGAGGAGAGGGGAGCAGTACAGCTGGCAACCATTGCCAAAGTTCCTCCCTGATGCAGCAGCCAGGGACAAGCAGAAATTGCAAGCAGGCACACCCCCAAGCAGCAGTTCCCTCACTGCCATTCAGAAAACAGCCTTCAAAGAGATAAAATCCGCATCTGTGCTAAAGCTGCATTTTGCAGGTGGAGGCTGTTTTCCCTGTAGTACCTCTGGAGGCGAGCAGTGACCGCAGGAACACTTTCCAGCTGCTCTCTGTCAGTCTGCAGCCTAACTCCCCCAAGGGATAGGCAGCAAAACAGCATCGCTGTGTGTGCCCAGAACAGAGAAACCCAGAGAAACCCAGAGGCCCTCAGTGAGGGTTTGGAGGCTGTTCAGGGGTAGCAGCAAGCAGCAGCCTGACGTGCTCCCTAACAGCTGCAGGCTGCAGTGCTGTCCCTTCTGCTGAGTAGATGGAGGGGACGGTGTCGCTGGGCGAGTGCTGAGCTCTGGGCCTCGCAGAGCTGAGCTGCAGGCAGTAGGACGGCTCGTGTTCTCCTCCCAGCACTGCTTCCAGACAGCTCACTCACAACTGCGGGCCGTTCTGCGCCGCCTCACTGCACAGCTCAGCAGCTCAGCAGAGGACGGGCTGAGCTGCGGGCACGAGCTGGGATCAGACAGTTTAGCACGCAGGAAAGAGCACAGTGCCACGGCGGCGGCACAGACCCGCCCGCGGAGCGGGTGCTGCCACAAGCTACAGGGGGGTTTTGTTTCTACTTCAATAACCGCGCAGAACCGGAGCGGCCCACGCTGGGCCGAACTACAACTCCCAGCGTGCCCCACGGCGGGCGGCCACCGCTGCGCATGCGCAGCAGCTGGAAGCTTCCAGGCGGCGCGCGCGGTGCCTGCTGGGTAGAAGACGGACAGTCAGCTCGGCGCCATTTTGTGGCGAGGGAGCGGGGGCTGCGGGCGCGTGTTCGGCGCCGCGCAGTGGCGGTCAGAGCCGTGCCGGAGACTTGCGGATCGTGGGCAGCGCCATGGGCTCGGATAAGCGGTAAGTGGCGGTGGGGGAAGCGGGGGCCCGGGGGGTGCGGAGGGAGCGCGCTCTGAGCTCGGCCCGCCGTTCCCGCAGCGTGAGCAGGACGGAGCGCAGCGGCCGTTACGGCTCCATCGTGGAGAGGGAGGACCGCGACGAGCGGGAGTCGCGGAGCCGCCGCAGGGACGACTACAAGCGGTCCAGCGAGGAGCGCCGCGGGGACCGCTACGACGACTATCGCGACTACGACAGCCGCGACTACGATAGCCGAGACTACGACAGCCGCGATAGCCGAGACTGCCGCGACTACGACAGCCGCGACTACGACAGCCGCGATAGCCGGGACTGCAGAGACTACGATAGTCGCGACGGCCGCGACTGCAGGGACTACGACAGCCGCGACTGCCGAGATTACGACAGCCGGGACAGCCGCGACTACGATTGCCGGGACTACGACAGCCGCGACAGCAGGGACTACGACAGCCGCGATAGCAGGGACTACGACAGCCGGGACTATGACAGAGACTACGACAGCCGCGACTACGACAGCCCCGAGGTGAGCGCTGCGGGGCCCGCGGGGTGCGGCTGGAGCTCGGGCTGGGGGTGGCAGCGGGGCGCTGACGTGTGTTGGCTTCCAGAGGGAGCGAGAGCGCAGGAACAGCGATAAATCCGAGGACGGGTACCACTCCGATGGCGACTACGGAGAGCACGACTACAGAAACGACATCAACGACGAGAAGGAAAGCAAGACCATCATGTTGCGTGGCCTGCCCATCACGGTTACCGAGAACGATGTGAGTAGGCAGGAGGGGCTTTGCTCTGCGCAGAGCTGCTGCCATTTTGTTGAGCGCTGCATCACGGTGGCCCCCCCCTTCTAGACGTGTTGGGAGCGCTTCCATTTTGAATCCTAAAAGGGTTCCGGCTGCCGCTGTTGAGTAACAGAGGTCATCTCAATGTTAAGCCGTTCGTTTTCAATAGAGCTGTATGTGAATGGTGTGCTTCCCCTAAGATTTTTGTGGGATTTAAAACTCCGTGTAGTTTTTTTCCTCTTCCCACTTAGCACGTGGAAGAGGATATAGACGTACGTCCTATTTATTTGTTGTTACTCTAAGGATTGTTAAGGGAGGGAGATAAGGAGCACAAAAGTGATTTAATAACTTTCGGGGCTTTTGTGGAAGCCCGAAGTGAGGGTTGGTGGTGCAGCCCAGATGCTGAGCTCCTCAGCTGAGAGCAGCCGTGCGGAACGCGGCTGTGTGGGTGCAGCTGTGGCAGCCATAAAATGGCTGCTCCGGAGCTGAGGGAAGGAGTGAGCGTGGTGCGCCATCATCTGACTGTGCTGGAAAGACCTCGCACCCCCCTGGGAGGGATCTGTTTGCCCTCTCACTGGGCTCTTTCAGTGACCAAGACCACAAGCCTGCGGCTGCTGTGTGAGGTGGGATAAGAAACAGCTGTAAAAGCCAAGGTGTATCAGTTTGTTTTCAGGCACGCTCCCCTTCCGATCCTGAGATCTTTGTGTGCCAGTTGCTAACACAGAGCATCTTTTTGCACCACTTCTGTGGTAGATCTCTGCTTTTTTTTTTTTTTCTTTTAATTGAGTACTTTCTGAATACTGGCAATGCTTTTCAATCGCCACGTGTGATCATTTTTTAAGCGCTGAGCAAAGCATCCAAACAATGGAATTCAGTCAGAAGTTACCTGAAACATATTTAGCAATTTTTGTGTCTGATTTTGTACCCGTGCAGCTTTATGGTTCTGCAAATAACTGCAGTGTAATCTGTGGGAAAGCTGAATGTAATTTTAGTTACGAACTCATCAGCAGAGTTTAGGTTATGATTTTTGGAATGATTGCTTTCTGCTGAAGTCAGCTTTCCCTTTGTGCTTCTGGTATTAACTGTACATATTTTAACAGCTTTTTCCTCTTCTCTCACGAGAAGGTATTTGCACTGAAGGTGGTGGTGGGTCAGTTCCAGCCAGAAGATGAGCAGGCAGCTTTAAATAACCTTTGAGTCCCGCCTGCTGTTGTATGTATTGTAGCATGAGTTCCCTGTAGGAGCTGCCAAGCTCCTTTTGTTCTTAGGTGATAGTTTTACATGTTTGTTTTTCCTTTATACTCCTTGGCAATAATTTATCTAGTTTGTCACACCCAACTTAAGCAGCTTGGTTGTGTCTGAAGAGCTGACGTCCCTGTAGCATGATCTTTGACAGTATTCTTAACAAATCTCATGTATTTTCTGAAAAAGCAAAAGGGAAGCTCTGTTAAAGGATTGCAGCTATGGCTAGGGGCTTAAGGGAATGTGCATCACTGAGCCTCCCAGTAGTGTTACTGTTCTCTGCTAGGAGTTGGATGTTTCCAGGCATGCAGGGCTGGGGATGCTAGCAGCATTCTTTGTTAAGACATTGGAGCAAGCACGGAGTTTGCCAAATTCTGTACAGATGGCCTTGGAATTCAAGGCCATAGTGATTCAGATTCTGGATGATTCTGTGGGCTGTGAGGACAACGGAGGGCTGTGTGGGTTCTGTGGTGCGTGTCAGGCTCCTGTTCACCCCAAGGGCTTGCTTCTTTTTCTGAGATAATATTCAGACTCTTCTGCTCTGTGCACCCGCTGTGCATACAGTAGGCTGGATTGCTGCTTTGTCTGGCTGAGATGTGTGCTAATATTTGAAAACTTAACTGTCTGATAAAATCTCACGCAGATCCGGGAGCTTATTGAGTCCTTTGAAGGTCCTCAGCCTGCAGACGTGAGGCTGATGAAGAGAAAAACAGGTGAGAGCTCTTATCCAGTTTTTGGTATGGCCTTCCTCTTCCCCAGCCCAAAAGAGTATCCAGAATTATCCCCAAACTGCAAGCACGTGCAATCAATAAAAAAAAAAGTTTGCCATGGCTAAGGAATGTGGCTTTTTGGAAGACTTGTAGATAGCTCGTCCTGTTAAAAAGAAGTCTGTCTCCAGGGGTTTTAGTTAACAGGTGTTGGTAAGTAATACTAGTATAAACCCATTTAATAGTATGTAGTCTGTTGCATGGTTACCTGTAAACGTGGATTCAAATGGAGTGAAATGTAGCCAGTTAAGGGAGCTTGGTTCCTTGCCATGGCAAAATAACGAGCAGATCCCAGCAGTTGACGTCGCATTTGTAAAGCTGCTTTGTCGTGAAGTAATGAAGCAGTTGGAGAGAGATTCACCTGTTTTAAAGGAACTGACTAACACAAGTATCCCGTCTATATCTGAATGCTGTCTCTAGGTGTAAGCCGTGGTTTCGCCTTCGTGGAGTTTTATCACTTTCAAGATGCTACCAGCTGGATGGAAGCCAATCAGGTTGCTTCACTCACCAAGTCTAGATATTCCTGAAAATGGAAAAAGTCTGTACAGTTTAAAAAAAAAAAAAAAAAAAAAAAAAAAGAAAAAAATAAAGGTGGAAGGAGTGGTTTGTTCCATAACAGTGATTTAAATGAATAAAAGCTTTGTATATATTAAAAGTTTTCAGAGTGATAGAAAAAAGCAGGTAACATTAGGAAAAGAAAATGGGCTGTTTTGAGCCCTCCCTCATAAAATGTGCTGTTGTCTGATTACATGGTGCCAATTTATTTGGCTCTGGAAAGAATAGCATATAGTCCATAAGAGACTCTTATTTTACTTCCACCTGCTAGTTCTGTTGCCATAGAAGGCATCAGATACTGTGAGATTTTCATTACCTTGGTATTAATCCTGAGTAAAATTCAGAAAAAGATGTGCCGGGTCATTAAAAAGATGCGTTCCCTGAGTCGAGGGAAGACACCTGGCTCCTCTGGACACAGAAATGTGTTCATTCCAAATAAATCTGATGGGAACTGAGGGCTCTTCAAAGTTGTGCTGTGTATTTTGGCTGTTCTGGACTATGACTTGACAAGGAGCCAAAATGCAGAAAGTGCTCTAGTTTCTTTCCCAGTGCTGCTTTCTTCTCGCACTGTAAGCACGCTCTGGATTTGCTAATTTCTGAATCTCCACCGTCTGTTTTAACAACAGATCTTAAATGCTCTCTTGGAGCCAGCAAAGTGTGTTGAGCCGCTTGTTCTTTTTACAGTTAAATATATGCTGTGAGGATCTGTGGGCAGCATGAGGAACATGTTCTGCTGCGTCAGTTTATGTGTCCAGGCACTGCAGCAGCCCTGCAAGCAGCTCCAGCAGATGGAGGTAGCTGTGTGCTTTGTGCTGGAATAGAGCTCCACGTGGCTCGTGCTGGGAGTCGTTTCCCATGGCACAGTTTGGGTCCTGTTCCACGGTGCCCTGCTCTGTAGGGTGGGCAGGTGCAGCGGAAGGACTCGTGTTAGGAGATGAATGCTGAGTGCAATTTTAGAGATAGTTTTAATATATACAAAGCTGTA